ACTTCCTACTTCCTAGGGTCTGCTTGTCCCAGTTTCCGCGTCCCTTCAAGAGTGAACCCCAGGCCCGTGCGTGGCCCGAAAGATTCCTCTCACGTCCAGTACTCTGGCTGTGCACTAGATCTATGAGGTCAAACGCTGTCAGTCCGGAAGGGCGACATCGGGGCGGTCACAGACCGTCGGAGATTGAGTGGACGCCGCCGGCGGGAATACCTCCGTGCACGAGCGGTGGAGGGACTTCCTAGGGTCTGCTTGTCCCAGTTTCCGCGTCCCTTCAAGAGTGAACCCCAGGCCCGTGCGTGGCCCGAAAGATTCCTCTCACGTCCAGTACTCTGGCTGTGCACTAGATCTATGAGGGGACTTTTCAAACGCTGCTTTTCAGAGACCTTTCCTCGGAGGTTCTGAGACAGCGAGGAGCCAGGGATCAGACCCGGTGCTGGGCACCGCGTTGTCCTAACGGCGAGGTTGTGCTGAGGTTGGAGAGAGTGTGAGAACTCCTGGGTGCACGTGCTGGGCTCCACAGGGCTCCTTCTCATTTGCTGCCTCCAAGCTGATGGACGTTCAGCTTCTTTGTGGTTTTGGTGCTGTGCTGTGTGCAGCAGCAAGGCCCAAGTTTGGTGTGAATTCCGCCCATTTCTCAGGTCCACAAGAAGCGATCACTTGCGCTCGGTGCAGTCAGGAGGCGGACGTTTCAAAGCTGGACGGGTCGGGGAGAGGGGTCCTTTCTCCATTCGTTTGAGTGCACGAAGTTCTTTAATTTCAAGTTGGTCTATTTTCTCTTGTTGCCCTCAAATGCCTAGTGAAGGTAACTGTACACAGTAACAGATGACTTTTTTTGTCAATGGCGAAGTTCCAGTCCAACCAACAATTTTAAGAAATGGTGCTGAACAGTTGGACAGCTGTGCGCGCGCACGCGCACACACGCACACAGACCATCGTACTTTCTCACTGTTTACAAAAATATATAACGATATAGACAGGAGATGGAAATGTAAAATCTAAAGCTAATATTTTTAGAAGGAAGCATAGAAGGAAATCTTGACCTTGGGCAAAGCAGATGTTTCTGAGTGAGTTACATTAATAATACTGATGGCAAAGGTGCTTTTTCTTGAGCAGTCAGGCTTTAAGGAAAATTCATTCAGTTCACATGACTTCTTCCAGTTGCACAGCACCTCTTATGGTCAAGTAAGTGAGGCAAAGTTGTGAATGAGCAACAGCCTGGAGAACCCGGCTGAATAATTCCACTTTGCAGCTTAGTGTGGAGTCCAGGAGGATGGCCAGGGGCTCTGGAGAAAGACAGAGCTAGGTTTAAGGGTTGCAGTACTGTGCCAATCCTGCTTGAGTTTCAGTAGCTCTAAGAACAATAGTTTTTGCTCAGAAGGTTTTTGCCACATAAGGAGAAGTTTCTGGATGAAGTGAGTTTCAGAAGCAATTTTGCCCTTCCGTGTCATCTCTGCAGCATAGTCCTTTGCTAAAGACAGGGTTAATCTAGATCAGTTAATTGCTAAGTCAATGTTGGATTTCTGCAAAAAAAGACTCTGTAGACGGTGGGACAAAACTCACTCAGACCTCCCAACTATGATTGTTTAGACATTTAAATGTAAAGAGATCTAGTTTTTCTTTTGTTTTGAGTATCTTTTATCAACCACTTGCTAATAGAAATCATGTAGTCTCCAAACACCCTCAGCATGAAGTCTGAGAGTTGCTAATATAGCTCCATTTTATGCTCTGAACACGTAGACTGTAAAGGTTAACATGGTGACTTTTTCCCATGAACTGTACAGGTGCAGAGGATGACTTTTACAAAGTCCTCTCTGTACCAGGTACTGCGCTAGCACTCTGGTTTTTACTCTGTGGTCCTAGGGATGGGAAACAGAAGGGCCAAAAGGAAATGAAAATGATTCAGTTCATGGAAAAAGCTCTTTCCTGAATCCCTCACTGAGCCAGGACCAGAAATCTGGTTTGCTCCTGGTCATCAGTGCTCCCATTGTATTTGTGAGTGCCATTTAATGAGACATAGAGCCTCCTGATTTTTACCTTCTCGTCTCTAAATCACTCCAGATGTGCAGGAAGAAGTCCGCTGCAGCTTCACAGAAATCCCTGGATGACTTCCTAAGACGCATGCATGGTGGTATCTAGAGGTCTCTCTTATAACATTGTCAATTCACCGGCTGGTGGCGTCCTTACCTGTGCTGTGGGATCCAAGGTTCTGATGACCTACTGCTATGTATGAAATCACCCCAGAACTAACCAGCTTAAAGCAATAATGGTTTATTTGGCTCACACATGTGCAGTTTGGGCAGGGCTCAGCACGGAAGGCTTGTCTCCTCTGAGGCAGCTGGGGTGGCTGCCGAGGCTGGAGGATCCATTTTGAAGATGGCACTTTTGCATGGCTGGCAGGTGGGCACTGGTTTTTGCCTGGAAGCTCAGGTAGAAACCTGAGTTCCTCTCACTGCAGATCCCATCACAGCACTGCTTGGACTCCCTTCTGGCATGGAGGCTGCCTTTCAAGAGTGAGTGCTTTAAAAGGCAGGGACGGGTAGCTGCCAGCCTACGAAGGTTTGGACTTAGAAGTTGCCACATCACCACTCTGTCACATGCTGTTAGTTAAGCCCAGCGCCCTCCCAGGTTCGACAGCAGGCAACAGAGACCCTGCTTCTTCATGAAGAAAGTGTTTAAGAATCTGTGGCCATCTTTTAATTATCACACCCACTCACTGTTGAGTCAGTCACATGCATTTGGGGGTCCAAAAACACTCCTTGGCTAAATAGCAAATGATAGTGCCTTCAGTCCACAACCTGTTCAAGCCCTGGACTACAGATCAGTTGGGTCATCTTTCTGAGTAGAACCACAACTGTGTTTGCAATAGGTATCACCACAATGTCCTCTGTCCTACCCTGGACTGCTAGTCATATAAACACAAGCTCTTAAGTGAAATGCAGAATCAGATCTTGTGGGATAAATAATCATGACTTGGAGCTGCGAGATTGTCCATAGAAGGCCACATTATCAATTTTTCACACCGTGCTGGCCACTTGCAGTTTCTGCTGTTCCCGCAGTTTACAGCTGTGTGAGTTAGAAGTCCCTCCTGGGTCAGGAAGCTGCATTCCCTTGGAAGCTCTAGGGGAGGATCCATCCCCTTGACTTTCCAACTTTTGAGGCACCCCCCATTTCTTGGCCCTTGGCCCCTCCTCTATCTTCCAAGCCAGCAACTAAGCATCTCCCTGACCCTGCTTCAGTCTTCACACCTCTTTCGCTGACCCCCTTTTCCATTTTTGAGAAGCTTTATGATTGCATTGGGCCAATTTAAGTAACCCAGGATAATTTCCTTATTTTAAGGGCAGCTGATTAACACCCTTAACTCCATCTATAAGAACACATCTCCTTCACCGTGTGATGTAACATATTCAAAGGACTTGAGTATAGATGTCTTTGGGGGCATTATTCTACTTACAGTACCATCTTAGCTTATGAACCATACAAAAAGAGATGTATGCTGTATTTTGTCAACCCTTGAGCTATAAAATATTTGACCTCAAATCACGTTCATTCTACAATTACAAGGTTCACAAAGAAGCTGTGTTCATTCCTTAGAACACAAAATAGGGGGAGGTACACATGGAATTCTTTCTGACACTTTCAGCCTGAGGTCGATGGTGTACCGTTAATATTCATTTCTGAGAGCATGCAAGAACATGATTAAAAGCTAGGTGTGGTGATGCACATTTGCTCTCCCAGCTATTTGGGAGGCTGAGGCAGGAAGGCCAGCCTTGGCAACTTAGCAATTTAGTGAGGCTCTCTCAGAGAGCATGGGGAGCGCGAGTGTTACCATTTTCATCTGTCAACTTGAAATTCATGTTTATCTTCTCAGTATTATCCTTGAAGTTGGATATAAACTTTTGTTGGTTTAGATAGTCTACTGCATGGTATCTCAAATATTGATTTGTTTTGAGATTTTCATTAATTACAATTTGCTCCTTTCATAAAATAATTTGGTTGGATATAGTTGGCTTCAGATAGCAGAAGAAGGGTAACCATGAGCCTCACTTACTGACGTGCAGTAGTTCACTTTTGGATGAATTTGCTTACAGCCAGTTTGGCTATAATGTTATACACAGATTCCTAAAAGTACCATGCTGTACAGACTGTACAATTACAAGTCACAAGGCTTATGACATTGAAGAACTTCCTCAGTGACACCTAAAAACACACATGGAACTGTAGTATAAACAATGAAGCACTTTTACATGTTTTAGATGTTCTGCAGAGTACAGAAAGATGCCCTCAACATGGCTTTTTCTGCTGAAAACTTTACTGATGGAAGTGGGGCTCCGAAGGGCTGCAGCTTCTGAGTTATTCTGAGATTGCAGAAGGGAGGTTATCTGAAATGATGAGGCGAGCTGAGCTGGGACAACAGATGTGGCTGAGTGCATCTCATTGTCCTCGTGTGATGTATGCTTGTGTTTTTCTAAGTGGCTCCATTTAGCTGGGCACAGATCGGTTTTCTGCATTCTGTCCCAAGATAGGAGTTTGTGCATAAGCAAAAGCAGACATTATGCTCAAATTGTTCCTAATCTATCAGCCATCCGAACAAGCCTGCCTGTACAGAAAAAGCATCTCAGCAGAGCTGACCACAGTCCTGATTCTTACCTGGTACTCTGGGAAGAACTTTCCCCAAGGACACAATTCTGTTTTACTTTTCTTTCCAAGAAAGGCACACACCGGGAATGAATGGTCTCGCTCTCCCTCTCTCCCTCTCTGCCTCCCTTCCTGTCTTCCTCGCCTCCTCTCTTCCTTCCGCTCTCCCTCTCTTCCTCTTTCCTTGAATACCACTGAATTCATTACCTGGAATTCCAGAAATTTTCAGATATGCAATTTTTAAAAATTGACCTCCCTACTTATTCTTTCTCAATAAACCACAGGAGGATGCTAAGCACCACAATAAGGAAGTGTGCCGGAAAAGAGTGAGATGGGACCAAGGTGAAGGGAATCCCCGGCCAGCAGCTGGGCACAGGTGGGAAGCTGGCACCAGGACAGCCAGCTCTGGGAGGGGCATCTGCGGGACAAAGAAAGCAGCACTTGAAGCCTCTGACACTCAGAGATTGAAACTGTCAAGGAGGTATTCAGGGTGATGTCTGAATGTAGTGGGCAGAAAATTTACCAGAGTAAAACGGGATTACCTGGAGGGGAAACAAAAACCTGCACGAAAGGAAAATATGAACACTGTTTTAAGATTACTATGTGGCTCATCTCTGAGCCTCATTTACACACTTACAAAGTTAGTAGTCAAAACTGGGCATGGTGGTGCACACCTGTAATCCCAGCACTCTGGAGGCTGAGGCAGGAGGGTAAAATTTAGGTTCGAGTTTAGGGAGTGACGAAGGGAGACCTTGTCCCACAGGATAAAAACATGAAAAGGACTGGGGATGTAACTCAGTGTAAAGGCCCTGGGTTCAATCCCTAGTACCACAAACACACACAAAGTAGCAGTCAGTTTTCACTTTGAGTATTGATCTGTGTTTGGATGATGGCAAGATGGGGAGGGTGTACTTGTGAGATGGGGCAGAAAGGAGTAGAACCAAATCCCCATCTTCCACAGTGAGGAGTCAGGCCATGATCCTCAGATAAAAAGTCAAGATGTAGGAAGACGTACATTAGCTAGAGACTTGAAGGTAAATATCTAAAAACCATATCAAGTGTTGCAATTGATTATCCATTATAAGCCTCACAGAATGATTTGAATTTTTAAAGCAACAGTCATGTAAAAGTTTAATATAAGCGAAGTACTAAAACAAAGTATTTTGCAGAAAAGAGCTAAAATAGCAGGCTTGCAACTCAGAAAGGCTTGCTTGCAAAGTTGGGCTTTGGCTGGTGTCTGTGAGCTTAGATTCCCCAAAGTTCCCACCATCTTTTGATAAGACTGGTTCATGGTGCCTACATTGATAACAGTTTGGGAGCGATGTGATTACGGGAGAGCCTGGCCTTTTGGCATGTGCTAGGTGTCTAGGTGATGGCCCTGATTCTTTAAGCAGTTTCCCTGGTAGCAACATTTTTCAAGTCTTATCACAGCTCGCTACTGGAGGCATTAATCTCGACTTCTGAATCTCACACCTGGTTTCCCCCAGCTTCTCCTTGTGCACTCTCCCTTTACTGATTTTCCCTGTGTCCCTTCCCCATAATAAACCTCAGCCATGCATTAGGTGCAAGTTTATGCCAAGTCTTGTGATTTTACCTGATGAGTCAGTGAACCTGGGGGTGACCTTGGAGACCCCTCCAAGAAGCAGGCATACTTTCACGTCAATCGATGGCATGTTTCTTTTCCCAGTGTGGAGATCGGTGAAAGTGTCAGAGGGGAAGATGTCTACATCATCCAGAGTGGCTGTGGAGAGATCAATGACAACCTGATGGAACTGCTCATCATGATCAATGCGTGCAAGATCGCCTCATCCTCCAGGGTGACTGCGGTGATCCCGTGCTTCCCGTATGCCCGCCAAGATAAGAAGGACAAGGTAGGAGAGGCAGGCGTGTCCTGCTCTGAGCCACCATCATTTCTGCACATGCCTCTTGCAGTAGAATATCTTTCTCTGTTAATGCTCATATGAGCAGGGGTCCTCACCTTGTCTTTTTCAGATTTGTCTCTGAGCCCACCACATTAGTATTTATAGGTCTGCAGACAAGTAAAGCGTATTTTGCAAGTATTAAATTACCATTATTGGCTTTCTCATGATGAAATTGTGTGTGTGGTGGTGGATGAAACTAAGGACACCCCCACCTCCGCACTGTGTGAGTACCCAGTCAAACTGGGGAGTGTCCTGTTCAGTTCACTCATTGTAGCAATGTCAGGGTCCTGATTGTAAGATTGCTAGAATTTTGCATGTTATTTCTAGTACACCAGGTAACATTGTTACTTATGTTGTTAGGAACTGCATTGTTCCTTGTAACTGCATGTGAATCTATAACTCTCCCCAATAACAAGTTTAATAAGAAATGCTACTGTCTGTTTTTAGCCCTTCAAGGAGAACAGAGTTCATGTCCTTGAATTATTCTTTTAGCAACATTAGCACTACAGGAGGCTCTGTGAGTCTATACAGGTTGAAGAAAATAGAATTGCTCTTAACTTTCGAGGTACATCAGAGAAGTTGATTGAGGAGACCTTGGAGGCAGATTTAATGAATTGTTAGGGCTAGCACAACAAATTCCCATAAACTGGGGAACTTAAGAGAGCAGGAATTTAATCTCACACAGGTCCAGAGGCCAGAAGTCTGAAATCCAGGTGCGGGCAGGGCTGTACCATCTGGAAGCTGTAGGGACAGCTATTCCTTCAACTCTTCTCGCTGCTGGTGGCTCCTTGGTTCTTTGGCTTGTGTCAGCCTCATTCCAGTCTCTACCTCTGTCTTCAAGTGGCCTCTTCACGTGTCATTGTGTGTCCTCTTCTGTCTTTTACAAGGATACTGTCATTGCAGTTTAGTTTTAACCTAATCTTTCATTTCTCTCTTTTTTTTTTTTTGAGACAGGATCTCACAGTATAGCCCAGGCTGGCCTGGAACTCATTATGTAGCCATTAACTTGTGACATTCCTCCTGCCTCAGCCTCCTGAATGCTGGGTTTATAGGCATGCATCAGCACTCCTGGTTTAGAATGGTTTCATCTTGATCTTTACCTTGCTTGTATCTGCAAAGAGCCTACTTCCAAATGAGGCCACATTGTGAGCCGTGGGTAGGAGTGAGTTTGGGGGCTGCCACTTGACCCACTACAGTGATCGACTCTAAGCCCAGGGGTTCATTTCGAAAACAACACAAATTTCTGAAAACAGCATACATTTGAATACATAAACCAAGGTCTTCCGGAATTTTAATCTCACCCTCTTCAAATATGGCTCCCAGTCCCTTCTTTTGATTTTTCTTAACCATTTAAACATGTAAGAACCACTATTAGCTTACAGGCAGTGCCAGAACAAGTGGCTGGCTGGATTTGACTGATGAGTCACAGTTGGCCAACTCTTGCATTAGAGTTTGAATTGGCTTTGAAGTCAGTTTTGTGTTGTCACAAAATCCCAGAGGCTGGGTAGCTCCTAAAATAAAAAAGTTTATGTGGCTCACCACACTGACAGCTTTAAGATTCAGGTAGCATAGCACTGGCATACTGGGAAGCATTGTTTTTGGCTGTGGAGGACTGGGAAGAGAACTAGCCACTTGCAGAAGGGCCAAGTGTGTGAGGAAAGAACAAAAGAGTGCAATAGTCTGGTGTCATTCTTTGATAGTCTGGGCAACAGCCCTCTTGCAGGGACTAAGCCACTCAGAGACCAGCTTCTGGCCCTTCTGAGGGTGGCACCCTTGACCTCCCTGTTTTCCACTAGGCCCACTTCTAATGTCACCACATGGAGATCAAGTTTCTAGCACATGGACCATATTGTATGTGTGTGTGTGTGTGTGTGACTTTGTGATTTAAACTTGAGCTTGTAGGCAGCTGAAATTTTCAGTCACATATGTTGCTATGAAACCATGTCCCCCTACTTAGTATTTATCCAGCTTTTTGTATTGTTTAACTAGATTAAAGTTTTCTGCATTATTCTTAGCTGCTGAATGCCATTGTTTAAATTGTGTTCCACCAGTGTGGTGTGCCTTAGCGCTTCCTCCTGTCTGGGTCTTTCCACAGGATTGCTTAGCAACTCCATCTTTGTCCTGTCATAAAGGAGTTCATTTTCTGCCACTTTCTCTTCCATGTGGCAGGAGGCTTAGTAAATTCCCACACTGTGATTATTTTTCAATCAAGTTCTTTAATTTTCAGTAGGTTTTGCATTTTGTGTTTGGCCCTGAGCTATTCAATACACTGTATCTTCTCCAGTAAATCATTCCTTTGTCAGGCCCCGCTCCCACCGCTGAGTGATTTCTAACCCCCAGTTCCTTTGTTACAAATAGCAGATACAGATATTGAGGTGTCTGCATTTTTTTGTTGACACATATCTGATTTGAACCAACCTCTTTTTCCAAGGTTGTGTTTTCAAATTTTGTTTCTTATTTTTATTCACAATAAAGTCTTTGTAGTGGAGAAACCAGCACAGTCTCTCCCCTGCCTCTTACATTTCAGGAGCTATGATGGTCCCTGATCTCTGTCTCCAAGCCACCGTGCTGAGAAGAAGAGCCCTGTAGACTTCTGCAAACCCTGATGGCTTTAACTGCTGTGTGGAATTGCACTTTCTGACTAGCTGTTCCCCAGTTTTCCTATTGTTACACATTTAGATTTATTTTGCATTTTGGGTCAATTTGAACACACATTCTGTGACTTCCCTGAACTTAACTGAATAGAAAAGATAAGACCTTCTTTATCCTCAGCTGGGGCATGTGGTGTACTCTGGTAATCCCAGCACTCAGGGTGCTGAGGAGAATCCCTGGGAGTTTCAGGCCAGCCTGGGCTACACAGAGACAAGGGTGGGGACACAGTTGAGAAGCAGTGTGTGTAGTACTTAGGAATCCTGGTGGCTTATTGGTGGGAAACACAAATAGAAAGGAAGGACTCAGAGTACAGTGGATTCACTTCCTAGCACTCTTGTAACAAATGACCACACTGTGTGGCTTAAAATAGGAAACTGAGGCAGGAGGCTCAAAAGTTCAAGCTAGCCTTGAAAACTTAGCAACTTAGTGAGACCCTATCTCAACATTTAAAAAAAATAAAAAGGGCTGGGGATACAGCTCAGTACAAAGGCCTGGGGTTTAATCCCTGGTACTACGAAAAAAAGTATTTTAAGGACAGCTCAATCCTTGAAATAGTATTAACAATCACATTGTTTAGCATCTAATACAACACTACAGAGAGTGAAAGGGGGCTCTATTACTAAGTAATGTGCCAGGAAACAAGTGTTCACGCACTGTCCAAGGCAAGTCTGGTGGAAAGCCCTCTCTGTCTATAGCTCCAGAAAACCTTGCAGGTACATGACTGAGCAACTTTCTCTGAAAGGAGCCATGTGTGAAATTGGGGATCTTTGGGTCTGGTACAGCAGCCCATATATTGTCCTGGCATCATTATTTGGACACATCTGTGTAGTTAGTGTGACTTATAGTAAGGAGAGCATTATTCTTTCTTCAAACTTGTTGAAAGGAGAATTCTTAGTTATCCATCATCTGATGTATGCTTTTGTACTTTTTTTTTAAAGTTTCTGACAACTTTTCTATTTAGTTCTCCTCTTCATTCAAGTGGCTCAGGTTTCATCTAGAAAATTGCCCAGGTGATTGCAACATGGATTTAGGAAGTGCTTGAGAAAAATGGCCCTACTTGGCTTGATGTGCACACCTGTAATCTCAGCACTTGGAGGCTGAGACAGGAAGATGGCTAGAAGTTTGAGGCCAGCCTGGGCCCCAGTCCCAAAAAAACAAAAAAGAAGAAGGAGAGAGAAATGACTTGAGCCTGTTGGCACATTTCATTTCTCCCCACCACCACCACCACCGGGGATCGAACTCGGGTCCCTGCAATTGCAAGGCAGGCATTGGAACCACTGAGCTAAATCCCCCGCCCTATCCACATTTCATTTCTTAGCCAAGTGCCACCATGTGCCAGTGTGAGCAAACAGTGAGGAGAGCAGGCAAGATTTGGGACAGAGAGTTCACTTCTGCCTTTTTGCTTCCTGTAGGCAGATAGAGGGCTGTGTGGTGTTTGAGTGTTACAGCCAGCCATGGGCTACACTTGTGTTGGCTACAGAAGGAGTCCTCCCAGGTTTTCTGTTGCCATTTTCCCATCCCATAGGACTGTCCTGCCTATGACATCTCATGACACAATGAAATTCTGTGTAATCACTCTACTCAGAAGTACCTGCAAAGAAACCCAGGAAAATCTAGAGCCTTTTTGCTCTCTTTAAAGCCTGTTCCCATTTTTTACTCGTGCTTGATGTTCTTTTAGGCAAGCCCTGTACAAATGTTATTTTGGGTTTTGTGTGTATGCACAAGAACCCAGGGATAGGTTCTAACAGTGAAGCAATGGTTTCATACATGTTAACATATCAATACAATGTAATAGTAATGTGGAAAAGTGATGATGAGATAATATTACTTGTAAAAGACATGGTACAAAGTGTTTTGAGCTTGGGGGTGGCAACATTGGAATGAAATGGGCTCAGGTTTGAATTACAACACTATGTTTACTCGGTCCTTTGTAAAGAAAAAGTTACTTAAACTCTGCAAATTCAGTTTCCTCATCTGCACATTATGGACAGCATGAGCCGCTATTTATAGCTGCTAGTACCTAGCCTATAATCCACAGTTGACCAACTTTCTCTGAAAAGATCCATGTGTGAAATTGGAGATCCCTGGGTCTGTTACGGCAGCCCAACTTCTGCCGTCTTAGTGTGAAAGCAGCCATGGCCAATATTGTAAACGAACAGGTGTGACTGTGCTCCAATAAAATTTTATTTGTGTGTCCTGAAATGTGAATTTTACATAATCTTCAACTGTCTGAAAACACTGTTCTTCTTTTGATTGCTTTTCGGGGACTCATAAATATAAGAACCACTCTGAGACCTTAGGCTGGACAGAAACAGGCCGCAGGCAGGTTTGGCCCTCGGCTGTAGTTTGCTGGCTCCTGCCATACGTACACAGTCAATAACAGCTTGTTTCCTTATCTGGTGAAAACAGTAGGTTGTGGGCAAGACAGAGAATAATTACTTCTGGGGGCAGGGGAGTGACAAAGGACTTACAGCTTGTTTTCTGTTTGTTTTCTGTTTTACAAAATCATTTTGAAGGTCGTGTTCCTTTCAAATGATAAAATATTGTTTCTTTCTAGTTTTTAACTGATGTAAATCTCTGCAATCTTGTAGTTTTGCAAAAGCTTTTCAAAGTTACTTTTGTGGCAGGGTGGTGTTTGATACACTGAATATGATCTGGAATATCCTGAGAAAGTCTTTGTCATTATTGGGCTGACTTGCAAAACTTGGAACTACATATATTTTTTATTAGAGAAGTCGAAAGTTTTATTTCAGCTACTCTATCTCAACCTTACCTTTGTTTAAATGCAGTACTAATTTTTCTCTGTCTAGACTATAAGTCATCTTGTGAGTCACTCTTCCTGTAGGATTCAGTTGGGTGTCCAGCTAAACTCTGAGACTTAGGACCAAAACCAAATTTGTAAAAAAAGTCTGAAGAAGGAAATCAAAAAGTCTGAATTCAAAAATTACCTCCGTGGTTCAGAGTCCAGAAGTAAGAAATGCTTGTTACCACTCTCTTTTGCCTGTGTCTTAGTCCATTCGTGCTGCTATTACAGAGTATCTGAGGCGGGTAATTTTTGAAGAACAGAAAATTTTTTTCTCGGTTCTGGAATCTGGTAGTCCAAGGCCGAGGCACCAATATGTGGGGTTTAGGGAGGAACTCTGTGTCCTTCCATTGGAGAAGGTAGAAGGACAGAAGTGCAGAATGGAGTTCAAAACCTCTTCGCCCATAGCCTCACTCCCATTAACTAGGGAAGAGCCCTCCCAGCCTCATAACCTCTGCAAGACCACACTTAACACAATCACATTGCCAACTTCTGAATTTGGGAGGAGACACATACAAACCTAACAACCACTTATAAAATTCTAGGAAGAGCACATAGTTGATTAACATTGTGAATCAGATTTTATTATAAAGCAGTCGTAGTGACCAGTTTGTTCTTTGTATTATACTGGAATTTTCTTAGATGAAAGAATGCTTAGCTTACTATCAGTGAGGTTAATGACTAAGCCTTAGAAATTTGATATTATGGAGATTCTACTATGAACTATTTACTAGAATACTATTATGTGCAGGGCATGAGCTATATGCAGCAAAGGGTGAGCTATCCAAAAACAATTATTTGCCCTGTGAACAAGGACATTCCTTTCTTCAGCAGGCATCACGAAGAGGGTCCAAATGGTAGGAGCCAAATGCTCAAGTGATGCTATGTCACTTTAGAAGGGAGGGAGTATGTGTGGAGTCCTTGGAAAGCCTTATGAATGGGTGACTACAGACCTGGAGGACTAAACTCATTGGGCCAACAGAGATGGGTTGGATGGGGACCAGGTGCCATGTGGTATACAGGCAAGGCCACTGCGCTCTCTAGAAGAGGCAGCCAGACCCACTCCACACTGTAGAGAGCGGCCCAGGAGTACAGGTGAGGGACAGGGACAGTTCTCGGTAGACTGCAGCCACATTGGCCAGAGAACTTTAGTTTGAAAGCTAAGAAAATCAGGTTTATTCCAATGGCAACATGAATAAATGGTATGGGGGAATTAAACAGTGAAAACATAAGTTAAGATTCATATGTCATAAAGAAGATTGAAGAAGTATTTTTAAAAAGGTAAAAGGAAAGCAAAAAGATATTGATCCATAGTCTCGTTTTCTAGAAACAGCTGTTAACATTTTATTTCCTCTCATTTATGTTTGTGTTTTCTCTCATTTTTTCCTATTATATATATATATATATATATGCACACAGACTTTAATTATAAAATATTTTTAAGAAATGCAATGACGTGTCAGAGAATATGGCAATAATCCTATAACATTTTGATATAATTCTTTGCTCTGTGTAAGTGAATATATTGTGTCTGATATACAGTGTGTGCGTGTGTTAATGGGATCATTTACTTGTCATTATTTTGAATGCCACCTTTCTTTAAGCTTGTATTTTCTTGAGTACTTGTGTAGGAATAGTGCTATTCATAGACAGTGGCTGAAGGGCTGGGGACTTAGCTCAGCGGTTCAGTGGCCTGCCTTGCAAGCGCAAGGACCTGAGTTCAATCCCCGGTACCAAAAAAATAAAAATTAAAATTAAAAAAAGTCAAGTGCATGCACATAGACAGTGGCTAAATTCTTCCTAGTTCCTGTCCGTATAGTCTAATCATGTCAGTATAGTTTCCTGGATCTTTTGATGTAGAGTTTTATTGTTCATAATTTGTAACATGGGAACTAAAGCTATAAAGAAGTTAGGAAACATTAAGATGAACACAATATCAGTAAATGATCAGTAAACGCATCTCTTTCTCTAAATATTAAATTATCCATCACCAGAAAATGTTCTTTCTTCCACCTGGTTTTTGTTTAATTTGTAACAAGGGCAGCTTCCAACTGTCAGTACAGGAAAGCATCTTGAAGCGCTGGACTGCGTGCCATTGCTAGCTGCACGAGGGTCTCTTGGCTTTGGCCATGTCCCACGTACTGCTGTCCCTCTAAAATGCTTTCCTCTGGCCTTTGCGGCCTTGCCTTGAAAGTGATCTCGTCAGTGGGGCTTCTAACAACCATCCTGCTTAGACTCTGTGGCCTCCCTGTCATTATCTCTCTTTTCTATACCTCTTCTGTTACCTCGAGGCATTTATCCCAGCCTGAATGATGCAAACTGTGACATTCCATGTTAAACTGCGTGCTGCTCTGACATTTGTTCTCTATAGCCGGTGTCAAGCACATTGCTTCACGGTAGTATATGGAAACAGTATCTGGGGAACAAAATAGAGTGAATATATCTTTTGCTATCACAACACGGGTCATTTTCCTCATTACACTTTGTTGATGCCATCTGTGACGTGGCTTTCTCAGCTATTGCTCTGTGTTTTCCTGCTGTCAAATCCATGTCTTTGTTTCTTAGAGCCGTGCTCCGATTTCTGCGAAACTTGTGGCCAACATGCTCTCGGTGGCCGGGGCCGATCACATCATCACCATGGATCTGCATGCCTCTCAGATACAGGTACCAGCATTTCCTCCCTGCCAGTGGTTAGGTTCTAACTCTAAGTAACCGTAGTACCTCGGTTCACGAATTTAATTCATTCCGTGATTCTGGGGAAGAAGGCTGCAGTTGTCCTCATGCAGGGGGAACAGCTGAGGCCATGTTCATCACCTGATGTGGAGTTCTCTAACGGAAGCAAAATTTTTCCAAATGTCAAACTGAATTGTTCACAAACAGAAGTGTTTGAGAACCTCTGAACGGAGGTATTAGTGTAAATCATTACAGAAGGAGAGAGCATTCCTTGTGTTTCAGTTTGTGTATGGCTCCTCACTTGGAGTTTCTTTGGCATAATAACTCAATGTTGATATATTTTGTTTCTGTCACTGCTTGCCTCTTACCAGTTTTGGAAGAGTGAACAGCTTCTTGGAAGTACACATGGTGTAATTCCACCTCAACTTCTGGAAAACCACGGGAATGACACAATTGTAACATACATGTGCTAACCTCTTCATACCTTAGCTCCTGCACCTCTAAAACAGGCCAAATGACACAGTATCTGTTTTGTGATATAAAATGAATGTAAACTACTCAGTTTAGGAGTTAAAAAAAACATCAGCCAGGCCATTTGTAGTGGCACATGTCTGTAATCTTAGCTGAGAGAAGCTGAGACAGGAAGATCTCCGTGAGTTTGAAGCCAGCCTGGGTTACCTAGTGAGTTCAAGGCCATCCTGAATTACATAGTGAAACTCCGTCTCCAAAAAATTAAAAATATCCAGGGATTTAGCTCAGTGGTGCTGCCGCCTGCCTCGCAAGCTCAAGGTCCCGAGTTCGATCCCAGGCACCAAAAATAAATAAATAAATGTCCCTTTGCCTCCTTGCAAAAGGCCATCCCAAGCAATTGAATACATTTTAAAGGTGGCTGCCTTGAAATATCTGCCTTTTGATTTTGTTAAAATTAACAAAGGAGAGTCTGTTGGAAGGTTTCTTTTGAATATAAAATTAAAATGTTATTGGGGCCAAGGATTTAGCTCAGTGGTTCCACCACCTGCCTCGCCAGCACAAGGTCCCAAGTTTGATCCCCAGTACAAAAAAAATATGTTATTTAATGGAAGCAGTCATCTCTTCAAAGAAACAAACTCTGCAGTGTAACACTCCCTTGTTCTGTAGGGATTCTTTGATATTCCGGTGGATAACCTATACGCGGAGCCTGCTGTTCTGCAGTGGATTCGGGAGAACATCACCGAGTGGAAGAACTGTATCATTGTTTCACCTGATGCAGGAGGAGCCAAAAGGTACCATGCAGGCTGCTTGGGGAAATTTCTCTCATTGCCAATTGTTTTTTCCTGTCTGCATTTCTCCATGCATTAGATAAGAAAGTAGGTTTCATCATCATCATCATCATTATTAGCAGTGCTAGGGATGGAACCCAGGGCTTCATACATATGCAGGGAAAACACTCTTGCCCTGAGCACCTCCAGCCCTGAGAAGCATGTTTCAAATTACTTAACATTTTATTTTGCAAATGAGCAAGTAAGTAGACCATAGACTTCATTCACTTCCAAGGCAGAAACCACTCATCTTTGTCAACATTTCATCACTCGTGAAAGTAAACACACACACACACACACACACACACACACACACACAATCTGTCTATATTTGTTTTCAGCAAAAAAAAAGATTTTTAACATTTTCTGATTATCAAAGTAATGAATTTTTTGTTGTTTGGCTTTTTCTTTTACTTTTTTTTTCTGAGACAGGGTTTTTCAGGCTCACCTTGAACTTACACATGGTCCAAACTGACCTCGAACTCGCAGAGATCTTCCTGCCTCAGTTTCCTGAGTGCTGGGATTTACAGGCATGTGCTGCCATGCCTGGAAAAATGTAATAAACTTACTTGGAAAATAAGGCTTTTAATTAACAACACAGTTGAACTAGTTCTTCTTATTCCAAACACTTGGAAACGATCACCAACAAGGAATGAAATTTTATAAAAGAAATGTCTATATGTAGAACTCTAAGAAACAGAAATATCTGAAGCCAAGAAATAAAAAAAGGGCTGAAAGCTGTGTTCTGGTGGCCTGGGGCGTGGGGTATCACATCTAAGAAGAGACTGGTGTTTCTGAACACCTACACAAGAGCCTCCATAAAGAAGGGAGCTGAAAGCCAGACCACTAGCTTGCAGTCCAGGCCTTTGGACAGGGAAGAAAATAGATCCTGAGCCTGGGCCATGGGCAGATGTCCAGAGGAATATACGGGGAGTAGGAATCCCTAGCGTGAGAATGGGTGACCCCCCCCCTCAGCCGCAGAGCCACTTACAGGGGGAGACTTTCACACCCCACTTGCTCAGTGAGCTCTCCCTGCTTGTGTGACCCAGTGTCTGATGATCCCAAGTGAGCAATTCAAGACGATAGAGTCCTCCTGGCCCTAGGGTGAGCTGACAGTAGGACACCTTGGGGTGCTCTACCAAACTGTCGAAAGAACAAGTTTCAAAGAAGACAAAAGTGTGAAAAGAGCGGGAAGCCAGCCAGGCCTGGTGGTGCACGCCTCTGTTCCCAGCACTCTGGGAAACTGAGGCAGAAGATTGCAAGTTTGAGTTCCGCCTGGGCAATTTAAGGAGTTGTTTTAAAGTAACATTGTTTGAAGGGGGTTGGGAATGTAGCTCAGTGTGAAGGCCCTGGGTTCAATCTCGAGTATCAAAAAAGAGAGAAAGAGGGGAGTGTGGGACACGTGCTACTGAAAGGCCCGCAGTGATGTGCAGCGCAGTGGCGTGAGAAAGCGGTCCTGAGTAGCAAGTCTAATCAGCTTTGCAGAGGACTCGGGGAGTTAGTGAGCCAGTCAGGCACAGGGTGTTCAGAATCAAGGCTGAGAAGAATAAAAGAAAGCTGATCTGATAACATAGCGTTCACTGCAAGCTCAGGCTGCTGACTCAGGAATCTTGGCAGCTGCAGTCTGGGAAGGAAAAAAAAAAAACGTAGAATCTGCAAAGAAAAAGGTGGCCCAGAGTTGTACTGTCCAGGTAGGGGCCACAGCAGGGAAGGGAGTGCTAGGAGACACCTCTGCCACCAGCCCATCAGTGGTGGCTGGTTTGTGCGTGCTAATAATGCCCAGAAGTCAAAGGGACCGTGAAGCTTCAGGTGATTGTTAAATGCAGGACCTGGGGGTGCAGCTCAGCAGAAGAGAAGAGCGCTCACTCGCCTAGTGAGCCCTGAGTTCCATCCCCAGCAATGCAAAACACAACAGCCAAAAGCAAGCCTGCCCCTGGTTTGGAGCCCTCATTTAGCTGCAGCCCAGTTGGCGACGTGCGGTCACACTTAAAAGCTTAGGAGTGGCCCAGATAGCGGGCAGTCATAATGCTCTGCAGTGCATTGTAGGCCCAGATTCTCAGAAGAGCCCATTCCTTCTGATCTCAGCTGCCCTCCAACGGCTGCTTAGGTTGCCAGCACAGAAGAGGAGGAAGAAGTGGGCCATGCAGCTGGTGGTGGGCCTCTGCCAGCTGCAGGAAGTGGCCATGGACAGGAAGGAGACACAAGTATGTGAAAGACGGCAGCAGTTCGCTTGCAAAGAGCCCCCATTCGAGCAGCGATGGGGTGGAAAGCAGCAAGGCGTGATAGGACCCTTTCCAGTGTGGGATGGGCACAGGAATGCCCTTGGCGAGCACATCAAGGTTAATTCATGCCGTGTTGTCAGCTGCTTAAGAATGTGCGCAACTTCACAGACTTGTTTCTACTGGAAATGCTTGTGGTTGACATGGAAACTTACTTCAGTCACGTGGTGGAATCTACATTCAAACAGAACAAATCTCCTGGCTCGAGGTGAAGAAGTAGGCTAGGGGGTCCAGGAGTGCATGACGACCCTGGTTTGTACTAATAGCTTCATTGTGTTGCAATTCAAATACCTCCACTTCGCTCACTTAAAGTGTACAGTTCAGTGGTTTGCAGTATAGTCACAGACTTGTGCTGCCCTCACCACTAATCCAGAACATTGTTATTGCACCGAGAGGAGACCTTGTTCCCATTAGCGGTTGCTCCCCGTGCCCCCTACCCCCAATCTCAGTCTTCTGTGGCGATGGAACTGTGTTTATGGAACTTTTCACATTCGGTGATCATACAGTGAAGGGCCTTTGTGTCTGTCATATTTCTTTGTTTTTAACCAGCAGATGTAACTTTGGTAGCTAATAAGCCCAAACAGATTTCACAGACCCTTTTCCTTTCCTTTCTCAACCCTGTTTTTATGCATATAACAAAAAGTATCATGCTTGTTCTTAGCAAAAAGTGAAATAGTGCTAAAAGTGACTCACCTGTTTGCTTTTTTAAGCACTGCTGTTCTTTCCAGTGTCACAATGATGTTAGTCAAACACATATCCCCCTATTTCTTACACGCAAATGGTAACGTGCTATGCACATTTCTTTCTTGCACTTTTAAGAAAAGCTGTTGGCTAAATTTGAGTGGTAAGTCTGTGGCTGTGTAGCAGGTGTGCCTGAATGCTTTGTACACTGACTAATACTCCCACATATGCAGAGATCGTAATTCCTACGATCAGTCCCCTGTTGCGCACTTGTAGGTGCTGCAGCTTGTACAGTCCCACAGCAATATACCGCTTTGCCAGTTTGCGCAAATGTACAAGTGGGACACGTTCCTAGAAGTGGAATTGCCAAATCAAAGGCACAAGACAGTTTAGTTCTGATAGACAGGGCCAAAAGCTAGTCCCCTCCAAAAGAACAGATGAGGTGTCTCTCCATCACATGTGGCTCAGGGATGACTTTCACACGCTTGCTCACACTGTAGATTATCGGACAGTTTTGCGTATCAGGCCAGGGAAGTGACCCAATGCATCTTCCTGTGAATGTAGGTCGCTGTGGAGAAGGGAAAATGCTCCTTCCGGTATTGTGACTTTCCACGAGTGGCCTAGTCCCACTTTTTGCCTATTGCTCTATTAGCTGCAGGCTGTTCGTAAGATTGTCAAGAATTCTGCATCAACAGGCAACCACAGCTCCCATGTGTTGCAAATATTTTCCCCCAGTTTCTCATTTCTTCCCTCTTTTTGTATTTTTATTCTCTGTAGGACTTTTCAAACCTTTTATATAGTCATATATCTCTTCAAAGATGGCTTCAGCATTAATGAAGCACTCATCTTTAAAATTTTTCTTAAATGAGTTGTATATACTTGTTTCCCTTTTTTTCTTTTAATGTTCCAATTTTTCTTCCATCCACAATTTAATTTTGCATGAAGAGTGAAATTAGAATTTGACTCTTCCTTCCCCCAACCCTACTAGATATCTGCTTGTTCTGAAGCTGTATTAAATAACCCACTTTTTCCCTATGGTTTTGAGACAAAGTCTTATTATATCCTAAGTTCCGCTGCCTGTTGGCTAACCCCCACTTTCAAAATAGGCAGACTAGCCTGGCCAGGTAAAGTGCCATATTCGAAGTGCTGTTTGGTTCAGTCATCAAAGCAAACCCACTTTAGCCATCCGATTTCCTCCCGGGAAGGACCACATTTGGGGCATACATTTCAGAAGCTTTGCCTCCTCCTCCCCTTTTTTGGCCCCAAAGTGCCTCCTACACGGCATGGCCAGCCTCATACTCTGGAATGGGCTCTTCTCCACATAACTGTCTCCTCCCAACTGCCTTGAAAATGACGTGGGACCCATGCCCTTGACAGTAGCTGTGGCTTCTTAACTTAATGCAAAAAGCCCTGTTTCCCCAAAGAAAAACTATGTATCTATCTGACAAATCAGAGTGTGTTTTTTATATTTTCTATTATTTTTACATGTATATGTTTGCAGTACACGATGTTTACATTAACCTTATGAAGTACGTATATGTACTTGACATATCTTGATTCTTTCTATTCCCCTTCCCCTCCCCACCTCTCTCCCACCCTCCATGTCGAGATCCCCCTCCCCATTTTCATTACTATTGTTATAAGTTCTTAAAGTTCATGCCTGTGACATGCAATGTGTACATTCATTGTGGGTACTTAGTATATGTACGTGGCATTTCTTAAATCTTTTTCTATCCCTTTCCCCTCCCTCATTCCCCTATCCTTGGTCCCCATTCTGTTTGCAGATTTACCTTTCTGTTTCCTTCTATCAATCTTTTATCTTGCTCTTTATTTGTGCTCTAGATTACTGAAATGAAAGAAACCATACTGTGTGTAAGCTTGTGTGTCTGATATATCTCATGGAACATTATTTTTCAGGGTGTATCCATTTTCCTACAAATGTCTCAAATTTAGCCTTCTTTATAGCCAAGTAATACTCCATTGTGTAAAGATACCATGTTTTCT